TCCGGTATTCCATGCATTCGATCCCTCTTCCAGAGACTGATTGTTACAGCTCTCACTCCGGAGGATAAGGATCTCGCCCTGCAGATGCCTTTATTGGCTAGTCAACTTCCCACCTCCTCGCCAACGGATGATGAAAACTCTGATCGTGATGGACAGCTGTTACTGCTTTCGTCTGGAACCGAGACTGCTTGCAGCCGACCCCTGGGCAGGGTGGCGCCTGGACTCTTTTCTCCTCATCTGCAATGACAGATAAAGACAAATGATAAGACCCGAGGAGTTTTTCGAGCCAGGCTTCGACACGTCTCTGTGTTCCTTTGAATGTTACTTATTTTTGTGTGTTGACCCATTTTAAGATGGGTCAAAAGGGGGATTTGAAGAAAATATAATCTGTTTAAACATTGTTCAGCTTTAAAGTTACTGTGCAAACTGTGTAATAAAAATGTGCTCACGACTTTGGCCTTGAGAGCGATAAGAAGCGATCGCCTCATCCTGCAGGTGCAAGATATCTACACGCCGAAGAGGCTAGATTTCCTTTTATGGAGTTGTTTTTCTGCTAGTGCAGCACTTCCCCCTGTAAGTTTTAGAGAATATATACCCATCCTCACAGCAAATCTTTGGAATCTCCTGATGTGAGCTGTTTTGAGAGGTTGTCTCTGTCTCAATAAAGGCTCACTGATTCCCCATCTGCAGGTGTCCTGTTGTCTTCATTCTCCGCCAGCCTGGTTAAGTCAATTCCTCCTTAACATCTAAAAGAACCTATTTAATGAAGGAAGACGGGTTCACTCTGTGTTTAATATTATTCTATTGTTGTTGTTTTTTTATATCCTTCAGAAGCGGTCAAATTCTGGCTGTACTTCACAGCAAAAGATGCAAACTCAGCAGCCTGCAACAAGTGCTTTAAGGTGATACTGTGCAAAGGAGGTAACTCCTCGAATCTGATGAAACACCTGGCGAGTATAGCATTTTGTTAAAAGCCGAGAAATGCGCCGTATTCTGGTACCCATCCCTACTCTTGAGGCCTGGAGTTGGCCACCACTGCTTTAGATGGCTATCTTTTTAAATTATTTCTTGATTCAACAGGTCTGCCAGTAATCAGGCCCGCGTTTGTTTAGTGAAACTGAACTCAGCTTTCTAAAAGTGGTTAATCACCATTAATGGTTTAAAAAGAGGGACGATTACTTTTTTACACACGACCTGGTAGGTTTGGAAGATTTTTCTCCCTTAATCAGTGAAATGCTCATTTAAAAACTGCATTTTGTATTTACTTTTTTTTTTTTAATTTACAATTTTTTGATGATCTGAAACATTTAGGTGCGACAAAACACTAGGAAATCAGGAAGGGGGAACACTCTTTCACACCACTGTAGGTGTCCCAAGCTTTACAGCATCATCATTCAAAAAGCCTTGAGGCTGCCAAAGGAAACAGGCAAATATTTCCTGGATGAACAATTCCCAATTTTAATGAATTAATCTCAATTCACTCTATTACTTAAAATGTAACATGTTGATAATTTTCAATTTATGCAAGTTCTAAGAAATTATCTTTTTTTCATATATTTTTATTGAAATTTTCTTTTATACAATACAAACAAATGTTTGAACATCCTCACATTCACACACCCATCCACACTTCAAACCCTTCTTTCCCTTCTTTCTCATGAACAGCCTCCACCTCCACTCCCTATCATATCCTTGTATGGCTTCCACATATTCATAAAGTCCAATTGTTTGCCCTTGGCAATATATGTTAGCCTTTCCAGGCCTAGAGAGTCTGCAATTTCCTTCTTCCAGAGTCCCATGGAGGGAGCATCCATACTCCTCCAACATAGTGCAATGGCTCTTCTGGCTTTAAGTAGTCCATAGTCCAGTAATTTAGTCTGTTTTGCCAGTTGTTTAAATTCCCTTGGATATTCCAAGTACACAGAGTTTACCTTTTAAAGGGATTTTTACCTTAAACATTTCAGACAGACATTTGATTGCATCTTTCCAAAATTCCTGGATTTTAGGGCATTCACATGGAGAAGAGTTCCCTTTTCAACTTAACATTTAGTAGAGATGTCTGAAATGTGATTGGACATATGATGGAGCTTGATGGGTGTTTTATAGGTTCTCATGACCCATTTATATCGGAGAAGTGTAAAGCGCATGTTTATTGTTTGTTTGTGTGCTTTTAAGCAAGACTGGTTCCAATCATTTTCATCTATGTCCTCTTGGATTATCCCTTCTCCATGCATCTAACATGGCTGAGTCTTTGGCTGAGGAAAGCATCAATAAGTTATAGTACATAGAAAGAAAGCCTTCCCTTTTGTATTCTCAATGCATACCTCCTGTATTTTTTGTAATGGTGGAAGGTC